GAGGAGAGTGTGGAGAAGAGCGTGCGACGGTTCTTGGCGCTCCGGGAAGCGGGAGAGGCGCGCGGTTTGGTTTCTCCTCCCTGGACGTCGCACTGCCGATTTTGGATCAAATTTTAGGATTTTCAGTGCGGCTTATAGTCGTGAAAATACGGTAATTTCTCTCTATATGTATTCCATAATGCATTATTCATATTTTATAATTCAATAAAACAACTTGGAGGAAAATAATTTATCTCCCCCCCCCCAAATTAAATGGAAATTTAGCCAGAAAATCAACTTTATCTAAGGAAATCTGTTGCACTGCTTTAGAATCAAAGTAGTGGCAATCAGCCGGCAGCTGTTCACATTTCTGAATCTAGTCTGATTATTATGTCTTTCAGAGACTGATACCATCTTCTCTCAAGGAGAAATTTATCAGCTGATGGACTCAATCAGCCTTCCTTTTCCTTGTTAAATGTCAAAAGCCAAGACAGGCAAGGGACACACATATTAATGGTTATTGAATTAGTCCCAAGACCATGTAACTCATTTAGTAATTGGGCTTGATGGTGAATAGATTATCTCTTGTTAAAAGATGTGTAAAGTCCAAATGCAAGCAATTCTATTTACCAACTTGCAAATCTGTCCAGGTTGTGATCAATTTCCTTTGAGAGCCAGAATAGAAAACAGTGGAACAGTGGAACAGTGCAACTGGACAATATTACAAAAATGCTATTTCACCCCACCAGTTTGGCATTTGTTATTATCTATGATGTGGAATGTGTCCTGGAGAACTTTGGAAAGTCAGTTTCTGATATTTTTGAAACAGTGAAAATGTATTCATATCCATTGTTTCATGGGAACTGATAGCACAGTCTTACTGTGTATATGCATCTAAAACTGCTATAACGGCTATTCTTTTCACCTCTGCTGCTAAGTAATTCCCAGTGGCAAGATGTTTGAAACGATATAAACCATTCCAGTGTCCAGCTCCACTTCGGCAAGGATCATGATGGACTACCTGGAAAAAAAAATCAGGAAAAAAAATAAATGGTATCTGTAAGTTTTATCCAATGATGTAGCGGTGTCGAGCTGCAATGACAGCAAAAATGAAATATGCATGCAATGACATATAAATGCAAACCTTATATGCCTATATATAAATGTCAGGTAGCACACAACAATATCAAGTGTCATCAATTTGCTTTGTCCTGCAGACATCCATTACCAAAGTTAGTTGCCAACACACGAATAGTGAGTCCGAGGTTAGGAGAGCATGAGTTAATGCTTGCACTACTGTTACTGCTTTTATTATTGTTGTTGCTATCAGGGTCATCTAAATAGCCTCAGAATGCAATGCCACTCTACACAGAAATTCCACTTTCACTATTCTATCATAAGCTAAATTTGGGGCCAGGAAATCTATATCCACATAAATATGTTGGTTTCACCACACAAACAAATATGAGCTGTCGTGGCACAGTGGTTACAATGCAGTACAGCAGGCTATTTCTGCTGACTGCCAGCTGCCATAAGTTTGGCAGTTCAAATCTCACCGGTTCAAGATTGACTCAGTCTTCCATCCTTCCAAGGTTGGTAAAATTAGGATGCAGATTGTTGGGGGCCATATGCTGACTCTATAAACCACTTAGAGAGGACTGTAAAGCACTATGAAGCAGTATATACGGTAAGTCTAAGTGCACTCAGATTACATCAATACTCAAGGAATGCTGAAACAGGGAGTTGTGTTGTGGCCTGCCAGTGGCCAGTAGAGCCAGACAGTGAGGAGGTTGGGGAGGAATATGGGGGCTGAGGAAAGCTCTGTGTTGGAGGCAGAGAGGGAGTTATATAGCAATGAGGCAAAAGAATAGCTGGAGCCTGTTCCCAGTGTGCGCATGTGCAGAGCTGCCAGAAGGCAAGAACAACTAAGAAAGCAGGGAAGACTTAAGAGTAAAGCTACACCTTTACTGCCCCCCCCCATAGGAAACAAAAGAGGAACAAACGGGGAGTGGGCTTTTGCAGGAAACAATTCGTTCATTCAGTCATTTCAAGAGTGGAAAGTTCTGTTTGTGACTATAAGAGACTCTGTGCCAAGTTTTGCCTTGCCCTGCATTTGGAAGATAGTTATCTGGCAGCGCTCCAAACGAGATAAAGTGTATGTGGATAAACATTCCTCTGAAAGACTGTTTGCTAAGGCTTGATGACTGTGAATGAAAGGAATTCACAGTCATGTAAATAAAATAGTTTTTGCCAGGACCAAGACTTTGCCTCTTGCTTTCTAAGGAAACCTGGGTCAGAACAAATTGTAGGTTAGCCTAACACTCACCTCAACTTCCCAGAGTGCATTGGAACTTGTAGCCGATGTTGCCGATTGCCTCAAGGTAGTTCGAAGGAAAACATGGAGCTTGCTTTTGTATTCATCGCAAGTGAGAAATTTCTCCTGTTCTGCATGAAACAATCTAACAACATCACCCTATTTGAAAAAAGAAATACAAATTTCCATATACAGGTAGTCCTCGACTTACAACTGTTCACTTAGTGTCTGTTCAAAGTTACAACGGCACTGAAAAATGTGACTTATGACCATTTTTCAGACTTATGACTGTTGCAGCATCCCCAAGGTCATGTGATTTACATTCAGATGCTGACAACTGACTTGCAGTGTCCCTGGGTCTTGTGATCCTGTTTGGCAACTTTCCTGACAAGCAAAGTCAACAGGGAAACCAGATTCTCTTAACAATCGGGTTACTAATGTAACAACTGCAGTGATTCGCTTAACAAATGTGGAAAGAAAAGTCGTAAAATGGAGCAAAACTCACTTAATAAATTTCTCACTTAGCAACATAAATTTCAGGTTCAACTATGGTCATAAGTCAAGGACTCCCTGTACAAGCATTTATATGAGATAACCAAATAACATAATTTTTTTAAATAAAGGAATAATTTAGTGTTAGGAATCATAACAACAGCAGTGTGAACACATTGGACATATACCTCTGCATACTAGGAAACAGAATAATGAAATTATGGGACAGGTTGTTAGGCATGTCAATTTTAATATGATAAAAGAGAAAAACAACTAGGAAATTGAAATTGAGGCTAAACTAATAGAACATATTTGGTGTTTGTCTTCACCCTGCCACTTTTGTCTTAATCAAAAGCAGATTTGGGTTTGGCTAGTGAGTCTAAAGAAAAGAAGAATTAGGGGCAACATGATAGCAGTATTCCAGTATTGAAAGGCTGCCACAAAGAAAAGAGGGTCAAATTATTCTACAAAGCACCAGAGGCCAGGACAAGAAACCATAGATGAAAACTAATCAAGTAACCTGGAATTAAGGAGAAACTTCCTAACAGGGAGGATAACTAATTAGTGGAACAGCTTGCCTTCAGAAATTATGGGCACTCCATTACTGGAGAATTTTAAGAAGGCACTAGACAATCACTTATCTGAAATAGTAAAGATTCTCCTCCTTGAGGAGAGGGCTGGACTAGAAGACCCCCAAAGTCCCTTCCAGCTCTATTCCATTCTAAAGCTTAAAGTTTGGTTTACATGCACAACAAAGCAACAAACTAAAAGTTACATGCATAACAATTAAATATGGAGATGCACACACTTATTACCCCTTTAAGCACTTCTTCCATATGGTCCCGAAATTTCATAAACAAGTTGATTTTCCAGCTGGTGTTGCAATTGACAGAATTCACCTAAGAAAACAAGAAATTCCAAAATGATATGCCCTAAAATAAATCTCAAATAATGACTGAACTTCTACTATAATTTTCTACGCCTTCCCCAAACCAACATTTCACTTCTTCCAGTTTCTGATACCTCTTTGCATCCAGGATTATCAGCAAGTTCATAGTTGCTAGCATGTAGTGGCTGCCCAGCATTCACAGGATTCAAAATTACTTTGTCTCCAACAACTACCTGAGAAAGGATCACATAATATTTTTAATTGTTTTCATTGTTTTATAATTTTAGAACTGCAAGCCACCCAGAGTTACTTGGTTGAGTTGGGCAGCTATAGAGAATGAATGGATGGATGGATGGATGGATGGATGGATGGATGGATGGATGGATGGATGGATGGATGGATG